ATTTCTGACTGGCAGATTTTTTCATCTGCCAGGACCATTGACAAATTTTGTGTCAATCTCTCCTCCCTGTGGTCACCACATGACTGAACAGTGCTGCCCCATCACAGCTATGAAATTGCCCCTATGACTGAATGGTTTAGGACCCTGACAATAGTTGCATAGAACCTACACAGCCACAAAGCTCAAATCTGTTTTGGTTTTTAGATATTTTTGTCCTTGTAGAGAATGGAGACTAGAGCAAAAGGCTTGTCTTGCATAAATCTGTAGTATGAAACTCAATTTATAATGAATGTTTGGCATATAATTCTCAAGCGGACATTAATTTTTATACAGTAGAATTTGCGAAATCGGAATTTTACATCTAAGGGTAATCAGACATTTTTGTTAGATTTGACCTGTGCCAGGCTTTGCATAGTGGGTAGCCATCACTGCAGTACTTCACATCTCTTCATGTTCGTTATATTTGTATGAGATTACTTGAAGAATCATTCAAGGGCTTTGGGGGAGTTATGTTGGTTATTGTTAACTGTGCATTAAATTTATAAACCTTGATTTAAAATTGATTTAAAAGTTGATGCTATTGATATCAACAGGACTGGGATTCTAAATGTTAAATGTGTCAAATCAGAATTTGGAGAAATTGCTGCCTTAATTCCAGGCACCTTAAGCCTACTGTTTGTCATCCTAATGCCCTTCTGTTTGATATTTATTTCTTTGGACATAGCTACCTCACTCCTTTTGCAAATCCATGTTAGCATTGATGTCATAAAGTAAGCAGAATGAATGTGTGAAATTGCTTGTAAAATTATCAAACGAAATGAATAGCAAATATGATGACTTTTTATTTAAAGTTGAACAAGGAAACTGTCAGCAATGATGCACTCTCATAATGCTTACTAGAGCTGAACAGTATATATATAAGTCTGTGCAAAAGAGGCAGCTAGGCAGATCTCAGGATCCTCAAGGCTTGTCATAGTTCCAGAAGAGAGAGTAGCAGCTCTTTCTGCAACTGCTACATATCACTTCAAAGTACAAAAGGTAAGATTGATAAGAACTACCAGTACAATCTGTTTGAGCAGGCTAAGTGCATTATCTGAATTGTATTGCCCAAAGTTTGCAACAGAGGTGCAGGATCTTTCAGCAAACTGGTGTTTTCTTCTTTGGTTATCCTCACTGATGTTTGGAGTTAATGACATCATCATTTTAATCTTTTAATGTATTCAATTAGTTCAACAGAGACTGATCCAAAAAAGAGAAATCTACTGTTTGGGTTGCTGAAGCAATTGAAGAAAGGAAGATTAACCATAAGAATATGAAAGACATGCATTGTAGTAAGATTTTAAATTGTGAGATATATAAATTATTGAGTTCTGTATTTTTATCTCCTTTAGCATCTTCTCTAGAAATGTTTAATGAACATGAGTTTAAAAATATTCACTCCTTATATATACTGCCTAAATATGAATCAACAGGGATTAAATTGGCAGAATGCAAACAAACTAAGTGGGTTTGTATAGTCACTGATTTAAAACTGTCCAAGATAGATTGTCACTCCATCACCCTACAGAATGCCACTCCACTGCCCTACTTTTAGATAAGTTTGTCTCAAAGCAACTATTATTTTCTTAGCACTAAAATCTGAAAGGAAAATTTTATAACACAAAAGTAAAAATTAAAGCCTTTCAGTAGTTGCTGTGATTACTTTACAAAGTTTAATTAAGTCTTCCATCTTACTATGGAACTCCTTAGACTGGAAGCATTATATTATATAGAAGCTTCCATGAGGCATTATAGCATGCTTAGGTAAGTTAGATCTAAAATACATCTACCTGAAAAAAGTGATTTCTTTACAATTAGAAATAACTTGCAGTTTCATGTTGATAGAAATTTACTTTATTAGCAGTATCTACTGGTGACCTGAATAATGTAGAGCAAATAAGATCTTTCTTCTGATCAGGAAGTGACTGATTAGCTAAAATAAACTAAGCATATATTATTTTGCTGATTGTCTTTTTCTCTACAAAACATGTTTGTGTTCCTCAGAATAAAATAACAATTTCTTCTTTAAATACTGTAGTTTCTTTAACTTGTCAAAAAAATGCTGATACTGGTTTGGTTTACCAATAGCAAGTACTAAACACTGAAGAAAATAAACTGATTCTTAATTTTTAAAAGAACATATTTGACAGAAGTTTAATACCTTTTGAAAATGCTTATTTTATTAATAAGGATTCTCTTTCTTGAAATAGTATTGCTTTCAAAAAAAATGTATTTATACATCTTTCTTTTTAGTAATCTCCCCAGATTTTGATTTTAAAAAAATTACAAAGAAGCTGAACATGCACTTAATTTTAAACATATTTTTAAATCATAGAGTAGCCAGTGGAATTGTTCACACCTGAAAGCTGTATGGGCCTGAGGCATAAGAGTTAGATCCATGATATATTGAAATCACTAAAGATCTGTTTACTGATTACAGTGGGCTTTGAATTTGGTTTATTATAAATTTCTCACAAAATAATAGCTTTGGTATCTGGTATTACTATAAGGAGGCTGGATTAATGACTAGACTTTTCCTTTCATTCCCCCTCAATGACTTAGGTTTATGTCTAACCTGTATCATGGTTTACCAAAGCTACAGGCAGCTGTAAACTGTTTTTATTTAGTGTTTTAGGTTAAGTAAATTAGACCAAATTGCTAACATACTGTTAATCAGGGCAAATTCACTTATTTATGGTGCAAAAACCAAACCTTATTTGGTGTCTGAATTAATTCATTGGCAGCCATATCAGCTAGCATGGGGGTCACTACATTACAATCAAACCATTTTATAATCACAGCTGTGTCATCACCCAAAGAACAGAGAGAGCTTTTGTTCCATTGTTGGAAGCCTATGAAATGTGAAATTATGCATTCTTTGGGATAGACATTGGATGTCAGTGTTGCACCACCAAATTAGAGCTCCAAATGAAACAGTGTTTGGTACTACAGTTAGGGATATAATAGGACTAACTATATGGCCACTACAGTATTTTTTGGTACTACAGCAAGATATGCGCAAGTGTAGGAATACAATTTCATATATCAAGACATTACAGAAGGCAGAAAAGAGTCTCCATGCACACTGATGAAAAAACGAGCAACATTGGCAGTGGCTGCTGGTGGAGAGAGGGAAATTGATTCCATTGCTTAATAGTACAATAAACAACAACAAAAAATATATTCAATTATTTATTTTCCTTGTTTTAAGATTTGATTAATATGTTTTGATTGCTTTAAGTATTTTGATACTGCCACTGAGTTATTCTAGTAAAACATATATTATTCATTAAGATTTCTTTAAAAGTTAGGCCTACCAGAGTACCAGAAGCAATGCACTCTTCCTAACCATTGGTAAAATATCTGCCAACAGTCAAGCTTCGCAGCTCCAACTCTAAGTTATTTTTAAATAGACAGAAGAAACAGATTTCTTGAAAACCTGCTCTGAAGCTGGACAGACTACCAGGGCAGTAAGGTTTTTGATGTAGAAGTTTATTTTTCCAGTGATGCTCATCTACGGCCACCTCTACCCTAAACACCCCCCCCACATACACACACACACACTTTCACTGCTCAGTGCAGAGACAACTCTAAATCTCAAGACAAAGTAATCTGCACCTTCCCTACACATCATTCCTTCATAACTTTCTTATAGTTTCCTCCAGGCCACAGTGTATTTAAATTCAGCCTATTGTGACAACACGTTAAAATAGAGAACCGGTATGTTTTTACTCAGACTGCCTTACTTTATACATCATTGAATTTCAGTCAATAACTCCTCCAGTGGAGCTGGAGGGGTTCAGCAGAGATTACATTAAGTGGGGAGGGTGCTTTTTGATTGGGTCTTACTTTGCCATCTACTGCTTTACTTCAATGCACTCATGTTTTCTATCTCCCTTTGTTTTTCAGACTGTACTATAAAATTCCATAGGAAAGTGTCATGGATGGCAGAAGGGCTTTTTCAAATACACAAGTATCAGGCCAAGTACATGATGAAATTATTTCTAGTGACATTTTGCTGATGTGAACTCATTGCAACTTCTGTTGCTTTACAGCTTATTAATATTGTGATCCATACTGCTTTTATAGTTAGAATGAATATTTACTATTCATCACTCAATGAATGTGCATTTGCCATTGAATGAATGGCATATTCAACCTCTTTGTCAAGGTCAAAAGTACCTACCCAAATTTTAAATTCACTTCCTTTTCTGTACATCCATTCCATAAACGTAAGTGATCCAAAATAATTTAACAACCTATGCATTTTGTAAGTAGATTTCCTCTCATTTCCTGTTTATTTAAAATATTTTTGAGTATATCAGTCATTAGCTGCTCATAGTCCCTTTTGCACAGGGTTTCTTGACCCTAAAATGAATAGCATTTCTTTTTTCAACAGTTTTTCGTATAGGGCATTATGTGCGAACAGACTAATAATACTACATTAAATAATGAAAATGGTAGCACACATAATTAGGGGATTAGACAATGCCTTATTGGTGACTATTCACTAAAATCTGTAACCATACTACTTGCACGAATAAACGAATCGCTAATGCAAGTAAGGGGTAACAGCTTGGCTGTGGATCACAAAAGCATTTGTACAGACTGTAATACTCTAGTTTATTCTGAATAATCTCACATTAAAGTCAGTGAAACTACTCAAGTTATTACAGTGCACATGTTGAAAACACATATAATAAGGTAGCCATTTTTCTTACATGGTCGAAGCCAATAGAATGACCTGAAACAGTAAGAATTGCATCTGGGATACAATATTTTCTGGTACGATTTATGACCATTAATACGATGTATACACCCCATATCTTTTATATCCTATGCAGCTCCATAATGGAAGCCCTTAGGCTGAAATAAAAGTATTATGTCAATAGTGCAAGAAGCAAAACGACATAGCACTGAACACAAGCCAGTGAGTGGCTTGGTAGTTTGTTTTTTAATAAGAAATCAAACTTATCAATAAGTCATTATTAAGTCTAGAGGCCTAGCACTGCAATTTTTGTTATTTCAAAACAAACTTTTAAAAGGAGAGTGGAGGGCCAGAAGACTGCAGAGCAGCTAATGTGACAGTATTCTTGACAAAGACTTGCTTTGTTTTTTCTCTAGTGAATGAGCTGGAAAAAAAATAAAACTAATGCAAATGCCCTAGTTTTGAAAAAAAAAAAAAACAATATTATTGAAAGAGATTTAATGTTTGCAATCAGCAGAACACAGAGCAAAGGGGATACAGACCTTTATCCTCATATTGCAAAAGTGAGGATACAATTGCTCTAAGCTCACCTTGCAGTCTAGAATACAGGCCAGAACAGAGACTGTATCTTTTGAATGCCTACCCAAGGCACTGCAGTCTCCATCCGCTGGACATAGGCCCCATCCTCACAGGGTCTCAATATCTGTAAGTTTAGATCAGCATTAAAGATGTCTCTTTTCAATGTAATTTATTCAGACAGATGTAAAGATGATTACATTTTTCTTTGTTGCCTTATTTCTGTTTTGACAGGCAATGAAAATGAAAAGCATTTATTTTGTTGCTGGGCTCCTTTTAATGATAGTTCAAGGCAGCTGGCAAAATCCTCTTCAGGATACAGAGGAGAAATCAAGGTAAATTCTTTAGATCAAACTCCTAGAAACACTTGGCCTGAACTTTGTTTTCTTATAGTTTTAAGCAAAATATACTATGACTTAAAGATTTTTTTTATACTATTACACAATATTTAAACTACCAGTTTTTAATATTGTGAAGTATAGCACAGAAGTTTACAAACAGGTATTACAAACAATAGCTGCCTTAGTTATCCAAGATGATCTTTTCATTGCGCAGTATCAAATCTGCTATCTTAATTCATTTTACTAGCCAGCTAGTGATTAGTATGTCACTTGCTTTCACTTTGTGAGAGTTTAAAATAGAATTTTTAAGAGAAGTCAACGCACCTGTAGAATGTACTATAACCATTGACAACTAACAATTACTAAACTTTTCACAGATCACTCAAAGCTTCCCAGTCTGAACCATTAGATGAATCGAGACAGCCGAATGAAGTGAAACGTCACTCACAAGGCACATTCACCAGTGATTACAGCAAGTACTTGGACACTAGACGAGCTCAGGACTTTGTGCAATGGTTAATGAGCACTAAAAGAAATGGGTAAGCATTTTGGTCACATTGCTGTAAAAGTCCATATACAGACACAGCTAAAAATCTAGCTGAATTCAATTTCTTGATTTTAACTTCCTATCACAGACCACGTGTAATCCTCAAATAAGTACTTAAGGAAAATTTATATATAATTTTAACATTATGTGCAAAATCATCAAAAGGATTTGGATAAACTGAGTGAATTTTACCTGTGAATTTACACCATCTAAAAAGACTATCTCAGCCTATTCAGGACAGATTGTTCCAGTGACTTAAGTTCATTAGGAATAAGATATGTAAATATCATGTAAAGGTCTGGGCCATTAGGCCTTAATAAAACTTTCCTATCTATGGATTCTCTAATCCTGGAGTTTCACTGTGAAGAGGAAACTGAGGTTTAGGTTTAAGTTGACCACTGGATATTTTACCATTGCCACAAGTATACTCCTAAGGCATGAGTTAGCATGTTTTTAAAATACTCTTTGATTAAACACAAGCTACCAAACTGATAGCAAGAATAATGTAAAAAGATGTAAGTCTATGCACTCTGTTCTAGAGATCTGCCCACAGAATTAACAAATCTATGACATTAATGCTTTTAAATCTCTGAGGGAGTCTTTAAAGTATAAAGTAACAATTTCTAGGTATTGTACTAATTTAAACTCATAAGCCTGAAATTATTTATAATTTTCCTCTATCAGTCATGGTCATTTATCATAATATTTAAATAATAACCAATAAAATCTCATCAGCTTATGCATGTTCTGCAATGTATTGGTAACAATGATCTAATGATTGTGGAATTCCACTACAGGCAACAAGGACAGGAGGCCAAAGAAAATGACAAATTCCCGGACCAACTCTCAAGGTATTCTAGTTGCCACAACTTGTTACACAAATAGATTCTGAGATAATTTTCTGTTAAACAAGAAAGAAAACAACTAGTATTATTTACAGTGTTACCGCAATCTAAGAAATACCTATCAAAGACATCATCTGACACCTGGTTTTTAAAAGGAAAGAGGAAATGTCTCTTTGTTATTTATTCCTGTACCTGTGTTCTATAGTTATGTGCAGTGGCTTCAAGGAATACAACACAATGAGAACAGATTTCAGAAAAGGACATTTCAAGTAATAAAAGTGATTTGAGAATAACCTAAAGAGAAAAACTTGGTACAGGAAAGGCTGAAGGAAAAAGAAAAAAATAAAAATCTGTTGAGGAAAAGAAAGCATGTGAGAAGATTAATGAAAGGAAAATGGCCAGGCACCAATTTGCTGGAGCTGATAAAACATGCTGAGCCCTAAGCATTCAGTCCCATGTTGCATAAACTGCTTATTACATGAAAGGAGAATGCAAGACCTGCTGGAGGCCATAATTTTGTTTCTTGACAATGTTTTTGGGAGAAGGTTGTGGGAATTGGAAATTTGAAACAAATAAGGCAGAAACCCCACATTTTTGCTAACCAGATTGAAAAGCCTGTATTAATTCTTCCTTTTGTCAGAAATTCCAGAGACCATAGTCTGGATCACAAAGATCATTCCGTTCAAAACACTGTCAATATCAGTAACAAATCTGTAATAATGTTTCAGCTTCAATTGAACAACATATCTCAACAAAATTAATGTTTCATTTAAAATGTTCCAAACAACTCTAGTTAACATGCTGATAAAAAGTGCAGATGGTACTAAATTAGGAGGAATGGTGAAATCCCAAGAAGAAAAATAATAGATCTAGAGCCCCTGAAAAGTGGATAGAAATCAGCAAATTCTGAAATAGAAATGTTACTTCTGGAAAATATTCCATTATATATCTACTTCTAAGTGGAGCTTGTTTTCCTAAGGGCCAGTGTGACATAATTTGCGCTATGCCAGAGGAAGAAGCACAATGAGGTGTAGGAAAGGCAAAACCAATCATCTTTCTCTATTATGCTGAAGGTGAATAGGCTTGACATTGTTCCAAGATTACCACTTGGCCGGATTGATGATTAAAAGGGTTTTCACAAAACATTCAAAATGTAAATTCGATAGGAATTATGTCTCAACAGACTGGCTAAGAAATAATGAAGATGAAGGTAGGAGTGGCTTAATGCAAATTTTTAGGTTAACACAAGAGATAACAAAAAGTATGTCTGTATAATACAATACAGATTGTTGATCATAGCTAATTAATCTAGCAGATGATCATTACAATGCAGCTATAATTGCTTTCAGTACCTGATTTGATTTGTTCAGAACTAGTTCAGGCATCTCTGCACAAAACTATTGTACAGCACAGGCAATGCCCTCAGAACTGTAATATTACCAAGAAAAAAATAATAAGTAATTTGAGAAGCGAAAAAAAACCCTCTCACTAATAAGAAAGACTAGTCTGGTGGGTGAGAAATATAACTCAATAAAGGTTAAAAGAAAAATTAAGTCCTCATGCAGCCTGCTCCTACAGTATTGCTCTTCTTTCAGCAATGCAATCTCCAAGCGTCATGCTGAATACGAGAGACATGCTGAAGGCACCTATACCAGTGATATCACCTCTTATTTGGAAGGTCAAGCTGCCAAAGAGTTCATTGCTTGGTTAGTGAATGGACGAGGAAGAAGAGAGTAAGAATCCATTCCTATTACTAAATTTTGCTTTGCTTTTGGGGTTAGAAATCAAGTCTGATGAAACCTTGATGTATTTTTGATCATTCTTGCTGTACTTCATGTTCTTTTTTTGTAAAAGAAGATATTCTGTGGGTGTTAGGCTTCCACTTTACATTAAGTTTCAGTACCGATTAAAACAACCTGTTCATTATGCTGTTACAGTCTAAAAGGTAAAGTTATAAATGTCAACATATCTAAAACTAAATCTCTAACATCCTCTACCTACCACCTTTGCCCCTTCACATAAGGTTGCTTAGAGTCTTCATCTATCACTGAGTTGATTCAAGTCAGCATCATCTTAAATTACTTTCTCTTCTTTTCCCTTTCACAGTCCATCTTTTCCCCTGTAGTATTTCCAAGATGAAATTTTTACAATGTCATCAGCTATAGTCCATACGCTGCTGATCATTCCCAGCAGTGACTGATGACTTTTTCCCTCTCCCCATGCCCCACAAAGTGTCCCCAAGTTGCTGCTGTGAAAATAACTACAACTTCCTACAACTATGAATTATTTTCTTTTTTAAGACACCTCTACTTCTTCTGCTATAGTTCAGAGCTTCCTGGGTGCAGTGCTCCACAGTTTTGACCTACCCGTGTCTCTGGTTTCTTTCATTAATATCTTATTCTTCCCATACTCATTGCAGATTGCTCAAGCCTATTCGCTTCATGTACTCATGGCTTTACACCTTTTTTCATGATAGTCTTACACTTAAAATGTCATCGCCTTCAATCTCATCTGTCTCCAACTCTGCATTTTGGAAGCTACACCATGCACATGACACTCCTCACTTTTTACCTGGTCCATACTTATTTGTGCCTTTAGACTGTAAGCTCTTCGGGGCAAGGATTTCAGTTCATCCTCTGATCATATATTCTACCAGCTGTAAAGTACTATGTAAGTCTCTTGCATTATATAAAAATAATAATAATAACAACAATAAAATACAACCTGTAAGACAAGATTGTGTGTTGTAGTCAAGGAAAACTAAATAGGTAGAAGTAACTTTTGTGAATAATGATGATTTCCTGAAAACACAGAGTTAAATAAATGAGGTCAGCTGTCAGCTATATATAGAGAGAACAGAAAGGCTGGTGCCACTTCATAGTGATGTTGAGATTTGCAGTTCTTTTTCTGTCATGTTTTATTTTCATAAGCAGAAATAGGGTATTTCAGTATCCATAAGACAGAAATACAACCTAGCTGTGATGAACTGCACTCAGAAACCTAGACAATTAAATGTAGATCATCCTTCTGCTTTCCAATACTTAGTATTTTTTGTGGTCAAACTTGTATATAGCCTTCCCTGAAATTATTGCAGGAAAAGAACCAGTTTGCCTGTCATTGGTTCCAGAGCACAGTGTGCTTCAGCATCAGCACACCTTAATGGAACCCATTAAAATATTTGTATCTTTAATGAGATGAAACAAGAGAGAAATGTTTCTGAATCAGGTTCTTGGCATAATGGTTTTCCAGTGGTCAAAAAAAGGATAGAGCAAGAATAAGGATCTGATTCCAAATATAAAATGCTTTTGTACAGCATATAGATTTTATACTGGTGTTGTAACTGGGTTATTTTACCCCCCCAAAAAAGTTGCTGTTCTTAATATCTAAACACTTACGCAGTATAATTTTAAGTATATAACTAGGACTAGAGTACAATTAAAACAGAAAAAAAATGGAAAAAAGTCTGAAAATGACTATAATGCTTTAATAGTGATATTTCTTAAATAATGATTCTTAGTAAATATACTCTGAATTTTATTGATGCTTAGTCTGCTTGGCACAGGCATTTAAGACACATACATTTTTGCATTGGCATAGGCATTTCAGACACATATATTTTTGCATGTATGGCTTTTTCAGAAATGCAAGAGAGGAATTTAGACTCACCTGAAGTCCTCATACAGTAAAGGGAGACTTCCATGCTTTATTCTATTATGAAAATAATGCCTCAAAAGATGTTCTAATATACATCATTCTACACTGAGCCATAACATCAGGCTCAACCCTTAACTCCTTAAAATCAGTGGAAATGTGCAGTGTATTAGAATCCTGTCATAAGGTCCTTTTAAACAGTTTCTTTATTTCGATATGCAAATTGTTTGATAATTTCTTCCCTTTGAAGTTTCCCAGAAAAAGCTCTTGTGGCTGAAGAAATGGGCCGAAGACATGCAGACGGCACTTTCACAAGTGATATCAACAAAGTCCTTGATGACATGGCTGCCAAAGAATTCCTAAAATGGCTGATTAATGCAAAAGTTACCCAAAGGTACCTAAATTTTGATTGTCATTCATAATATATTGTGGGTTTAAATGTATTTGTCACACATAGAGAAAGTACTGCTAATTTTTCTCTAAACTATTGACATAGTATCTAACTGTGTTACAAACTTTATTACAGACAGTGCTTAACAAGGATAAGACACAGAACTCATTCCAAATATAACTTGCGTTTTCCATCAGTGGTGAACCTATATAATAATTTCCTGTGTAACTTCAGGAGAGGTTTGCCACTGAATATTACCAGAAGTAAGGTCATATTAAATTACTGAAAAATAAAACTCTCCTTTGCATGGGCATTATGAAATCAAGGAATATTTATGGGTAAAATTACACCAAATTGATTATTTTTTAAAGACTTTGATATAAAACATTGGCTTAAATTGTGGATTGTCAATGGGGTACTGTAACCTGAGTTCCTGAAAGATAACTAATTAAGAACTCTGCTTTAGTGTGCCTGTGTATAGGCAAAAGCTCTTAGCAAAGCAACATTTTCTATGTGAGGTCTGTGAACAGTTTAATATTTAAGAATTGTTAACATTAACAAAGCATTTCAATGCCAACTTAAGGCACATGTGAGTGCCCAGATCTTTTAAAATGTTGGATATCCACTCTGTAAAAATTAATTACTTTTCATATTTGGACTACTACTGAAGCACCCAAAACAATTAGTTGATCTTGGAAATCTGAAACAACTAATATTGTCTCAAAAAGAAAACCTTTAGAAACTATAGTTAAAATACAGGTTTTATTAATATTTTAATACTTTTTTGTGTGTGTTAATAGATCATCATTGAAATAAACTACAAAAAAAAAATATATTAGAAACTATCCAAAAGCTTTTCCTTTAGGAATTTTTTTTCAGTCTGTTATTATAGAGAGGCATTGAGGGGTCTGTGCAACTAACATCTGCTAACTCTTAAACAGAAAAAATATGTTCCACACATATTTCATAAATCTTTGGTTGTTTATAATATGCCCTAATTGCTGCTGCTTTTTTTTTCCAGGGACCTTTTGGGAGAATACCAGTAAAAACGCAGAATAAAAATGGGACAAATGAAGATCTTCATTGCATCAACTGCCAGTTATTAGGAGATTCTGAAATCTGTATTCTGTCATTTGCATTTGGTGTAACAAAACTATGTCACCTTGCATGCCAGGAAATAATTGTACTATAGTTTAGTGTTGCCAAAGGTTTATATATGGAAAACCTACTGTCTAAGGAATGAGTATCTTAACAACTTTAAATGAAAGTTCCATATCTTTGTATTTTCCATTTATTAGGACTGAAGTAACTCCATTTATATTTAATGATAAAATTATTTTTCTAAAAAGTGGACTTCTACACACAAAGGATTCAATCATAAACTGTATGTGTTATTTGTAAGGGGCTGGCAGTTACAAATGCCTGAGAAGTGAATATCCCTCTTAAAACCTTTGTTATAAAAAGGCTAAGCTTTAAGGATATTAAATGATAGCCTTAAATAAATTTTTTCAAGCTTCTTGTCTGTTGACTTTTCATGCGTATATTCCTTGTGCCTCTTTGCACTCCGTTTCATTTTACTCTAATATTTTAGTGTTGCTGAGATCTTGGAAGTGGTTTGTTTGGTATGATAAAACAAACTCAACATTTTGTTTTGTCACATTTTCTCTATAATGATTCCCAGAAAAGAGCTGTGTGAACCTGGAATTATCTTTAGCTAAAAAAGAAATCATATAAGATGAAGCTAGAGGGGGGAAACAAGTCTGCCCAGACAAGTACTCTTCACTAGCATAAATTCTGGTTTCTCAGCAAAATGAGGAGGACAGCCTTGACTTTGATAGTAGTAGAAACTGCCATGTAATTTCTTCAAATTTCATAAGATTGCCAAGTAATGCCAACTCAAATGGCTCTGGGGTCACTTTAACCTGTACTGTATTCTTTTCTTCCTTCTTCCTCTCGGAACTGCTTTGTTCACCATGTATTGTGTTCAGCAACATTGTACAGTAACTTATAAGCACAACATTCCTGTAGCCTGAGCCTTATTATGGTGACAGAACATTTGGCTTGCATCTTAAGTGTTTCCAGCAATCCAAACTATTATACTCCCAGCTGGCCAGGGCATGTTTTTGCAGGTGTATGACAGTAGCTACAGCTCCCAAATAGCCATGGGTGCTGTTACACACCTTTTCCTTCTGATAACGACCCAAACATCCTTTTCTCCCCTTGCTAGAATAGCATTATGCCAGGTGTGTATATTAAAAGGTCCTAAAGAGCAAGTGGTTTAAGTGAAAGCAATGGGTTTAGCAAGTACCTAGTAGAAGTTGCTGTGAAGCAGGAGTGCTGTTGAATAAGAACTAGCACCTCTGTCCATTTGTGTTTTAAAGGCATCTGAAACTTTCACTGAGGTCTAGAATTTCTGGACAAATAAGATTAGATTCTTCTCCCAAAGTGCTACAAGAACCAATATTCTGATTTCAGATCAGGGCTGATCATATCCAACTTGGCATCTAGAACAGCTTCTCCACAGCAACAGAAAGCTGTTCTAACATCCCAACTTGAAACAATTAAAACTCAATAGAACCTTGCACTAAAAAAGAACAAAACCAAATATAGCATCCAAAATACCACTGGAAATTAAAAAGGGGGAGAGAAAAATGTACACATATCTGTTATTTATTTAGTCCCACTTTTACTCAGTGGTTTCATTCCAAGTGCTTCTAGAATGGAAAAAAAACTTCAGTTACACAAAGTTGGGTCCACATGGTCAAGGCTCAAATGGCACAGTTAACTCTTCTATTTCCACAGATTTGAGCAACTGTCTTTAAAATGTCTTATTCCATTATGTCCAGAATATTTAATGCTATGAAGGACAGGCTTCCTGCGTTACAAATCCATTTACTTGTGATGTCTGTCATCAGTGCCTTTGAGCACCTCCTAAAGATGGCTTTGTCAGCTATGAAAATACTGGTTTCCCACATTTTTACAAATTACATGCTTTTAGGAAGAGAAGAGTATAAATTACTTTCTCAAAGTTATGCAGCTTTTCTGGAACACGGCAAAAATATTTAACCTCTAATTTTCTAAGTCCCAATCTAGATCACGAATTAAAAGACACCCTTTCTTCACAAATGATATGAAGTTGAGCATGTTCCAGAAGTTCCAAACATGTTTTAGCTCAACAGGACTAGGACTTACACATCCTGAAATCACAGAAAAAGTCCATTTGGGATCAAAAACAAGGTATGTGCTGGATATTTCTTATACGTGCTACATGAAATTCAGTTAATGTTACAAACATAGGGAAAAAAAAAGTACCAGTCACTTCTTTAAAAAGTGTCTTTACTGGACAATAGCTACCCATGTCTGCAGGCTGAGAGCAGAATAGCTGCACCATTCAAGCCTCTAGAGAATTGCTATTTTATGTCTTAGTTTTAATTTTGTGGTCTGGTAAGGGAGAGATATAATTCTAGGCCTTACATCCATGAATGGTACATTGGTAGAGAAATTCACGAAAAGTGGCCTGAAGATTCCTTTTAAATAATACATGGTTTTCAAAGTCCTCAGGCAATGGAGCAACAGCTGTCAGTTATCATGTTGATTGCATTGCCTGTGGTGCTGCTGCTTGAATAAGGGGGCTTGAATTTGATTTTGGCAAATAAAGGCAAGCAAGTAGCACTGCTTAAGGGAATCATGTTTCAGGAGCATGTTTCAGTATTACCTATGGGGCTATGGTCTCATCCACCGTCAGAAACATTGAACTTTCTTCCAGTCAAGGACCCAAACTTGGTATAACTTTTTAACCTCAAATGCCCTAGTGTGTATGAGGGGTCTTGACTGGAATGCTATAAAAAATGGTACTGCTGCGATGCCCCTCTGCACCTGATGCGAGTTTTACATCTAGAAAAGAGTTAGGTTATGGGTTCCATCTTATTTTAAACATATTGTAAATGTATCATACATGCAGTTTATGGTTCATAAAGAGACAATCTGTCAGAGTACCACAAGCACAACCATTGAAGTCATTTTGGAGACCATGGGTATTTTGATCAGACAGGAGGAACTTGAGATTTTTTTTCAAGATGTAGAGAATTACTGCCAGGAACTATTGCAACTAAATAGAAAACATACTCTGCTAAACTGACTCCTACTGGATCACCCAGGTGGTTCTGAGTACAGAATTAGGTCCCATAAGCCTCTCTGGCACGACCAGAGTCAGAAGAACTGTAGATTATTAGACATTCTGATCTAGGCGCAGGAACTCAGATTTCCAAAAGTACCAAAAACTGTTTGCCCACTGAAACTAGCAGAAGTCAAGCATATGATTTGGCAGTGTAGGTTTCTTTTTTATTATTTCTTAGAATTAACCACTGAGAAGGATTAAAACCTTGCATACAATCTCTCAAAACATCAATTATCAAGTAACCTGGCTATGAAAAGCTTGGGAACTTTCAGGTACGTTTTATCATTCCATTTATCACAAGACTGAGATTATAACTTGACTGGTTTATACTTCGAGATGCAGGGATGATCACTACTTAGGTATTTAGAAAATAAAGCAGAGATTGGCTGAATTATGTTGCAATTCCCACTCACTGGGAAAAGGAAAATTCACCCCAAGGCATGGGGAGGTGTTTTTTTTATTGTTGGTAAAATGAGTGAGTGCACAGACTAACAGATATTTAAGAGGGGCTATAAAACAATCTGAAATTCTGGTCATGCATCTCACAGCATATATGGCATACTAGTTTGAAAACTAATGTTGAAGACTTCTATTTCACAGTGATTTTACTTTATAAAAGTGGATTTAACAGTACACAGAAATTACCATTAAGCTAGCTGTGAATTTACACGATGTTACATCTGCCACTGTAAACATACAGAGCTGTATGGAACCACTATCAGGGCAAATTAATGGTATTTCTACGGTAAATCGCTATAGCTAGCACCATATAAATTTAAAAGTAGTACTAACCACTACCTTCAAGCTGAATGGTACACAATAGTGAGCTGAGCATAACACTACTTAGCGATGCTCAGCTTTTTAAACAAATGCTTTACAGTTTCGATCTCCAGGTTATATTCAGTCTTTCCCACTAATTAGTCCTAATACCTCAACACATACTCAAAATTCTCCTTGGAGATGGAATTGGCTGATGTGATAAACCAGGGTCATCTTCAGAGCTAGATTTAAACTTTTATCCTGCGCTTCCGTTTTTCTGGGCATTTAAAATTCCATTTTGCAGACTTACACATCCACCTCTCTCGTATGCCAACAACCAGTGCCAAATAAATAAATACCAGCCCTTCCTGAAATTTTATTAGTCTTTCCATAACTTGCTTGCCAGAGAAAGTTCAAAGAGCAGAAACTTTACAAGAAATGCTGGTGTTATCAGAGCATTAGGAGCTTTGCCGTTAGCGTTCGAAGGCATTTCACTTCTGGGATCTGTGTGTGGCCGTTATCTGATTTCCTACAGAAATCTTTTCAGTGTCAAAGGTCCCTCCCTTCTACCGTGCAGCCGTGTCACCGCGCTCCAAGGGTCTGAACCGAAGGAGAAAAAGTGGCTCGCAGAACAACACACGAGGCTGCAAAGCCAGCAGGAAAGCCGAGATCTCGCATAAGCCCCCGGCTTCTGGCGGTACTTCCTTCCTGCCAGCGGCTGCCGTCTCCAGCCCCCCCGCAGAAAAGCCCCGAGGGCAGCAGCAGAAGCACAAAGGCGTAAGGGTGTGCGATCTCTATACGCACCATGCAGGTGGGTGAGAGGGGAGGGGGTCAGCGGACGGGGTGGTGCTGGGGGTCCTGCGCAGCCGCAGCTGCCGCCTGATGGGACTTCTCCTTGCAGACCTTCCTGAAGTGGTTGCTGGGGATCCTGGGGTTTGCTGTCATCGTCACGGCCATAGCCGTGCCCCTCGCCTTGCTCACCGGCAGTAAGTCAGTCCGCGGCCGGGGAGGGCGGTAGGGCTGGGGGGCGCTCCCTGTGGCTGCCGCGCTCTGGGGATCCGCAGCCGCGACACCCATGCGGTGGGGGCTTTTGCGGAAAGTTTGTGCCGTAGGCGACGGGGCTGATGGAGCTGGAGCTCTAGAGTCCTTGGTCTGGAGCTTGGGTACTTGTTCGAGAAGGTGTCTCACCTGAGGGGGGTGTGTGTGTGTGTGTGTGTGTGTGTGTGTGTGTGTGTGTCACTTGATTTCTGTGTAAGTTGGGAAAATACTAGTTTTGAGCATTAAGGTTTTCAGTATTTTTCTTGACTGTTGCAGCTGGAGGCTGTAGAACCAGCAGTAAAATCCCAGTTAGTCAATTTCCTAGGGTGTATTGAAGAGATAAGGTTATATTCCCTCTAATTTGCTTTGTTTGCACAACTTTTTTTAAACGTTGTTGAGTGAAATTATATATACAGCACAGTTCCAGAGGTCAGAAAAGTAGGAAAGATTTGGAATGCATTATTGGACTCTGATCCCTTTACACTTCACAGGTTATGCTTGTAACTCTAGATGTTAATGTGAAACATTGCTCATTAAGCAATG